CCTGGTGCCCCAATGATTACAATGCCTCGAGACAGGGGTATTAATTTACATTAGCGAAAGTGTAGTCGCTCAGATGATGGATGTGAGTGTGAGAGAGCTGAGTTTGGGCCAGATGGCCTTCACAAGGTGTGAGAGGAAGACCAGGGGGCTCAGGCAGGTGGCTGCTCCCAAAACCAGGCCTCCACCCCCTGGAGCAGCTCCCTCCCCCACCCAGAGATGCTCTGGAGCGGCAGCACCGAGCCGCAGGTGTGAGGCAAGCAGACGGACTCGCCTCGTGGGAAATGGAGCATTAATGTGGCAGAGTGGACCCAGCTCCTGGTAATGCTGCTTATTGTTTACGTGCCTCCCTCCCAGTGACTCACCATACGGCAGACGGTAAATAAATGGCATGGAGAGGAACCGGATGCCGACGGTGGCTTCTGCTTATGGCGCTGAATGTCCTGAGAGTTTACGGTGATTATTATAAGCAGGGGGGCGGAAACGCGCCTGGCAGAGGCCTGCCGACTCTTTGATCTCCCAGCAGACACTCAGCTCAACACACCTTTAATGGAAGCAGCCCTTTGAATTAGCCTCAGAACCACTGCAATACTTCAGTGGGTTCTCTGGGAATTCTGGGTTTGCTGGTTCATCATGAAATAAGATGTGGCCATTTATTTCTTTATTTTCTAAAGGGCGATCAGAAAAGGAACTCTACTGTGACTGTTCCCCTTGGAGTCCCTGAATCATTCTGTGTGTGTGTGTGTGTGAGGGGGGGGACATTCAGCTGGTCTTGGAAACCCTCAGTAGGGGTGAGAAAGGCCAGGCTGTAAACCTGCTTTACAATGCCTGACCCTAAGCCACCTGCACATGCGAGGTAACTTCCACACCAGTCCTACCCCAAAAGTCCCACGGAATCATCAGGGACATGGAGGAGGGTGACGCTGAATTACCCAACATCCTCCCCCGAGGAATCTGCATAATTATAACCTGCTGATCAATGTCTCTGCGCTGCTTTTTATATTGCACATTAAAATGCACATGGTGACCTCACAGGGTGCTGTGCATGCGTCTGTGTGTACAGGTCATTATAACCTTCTGAATGAATTACCAAAAATAAATGATGCATTGCCTAGTTTTTAAAGGGTGACAGCTTCTTGAAAAGTGGCCAGATTTTCTCTTTGCTCTAAACTTTCACGAGTCAATGAAAAGAACCAGACATTAAATGTAACAAATACAGGTATAGGTGTAGATGTTACTAACTACATATTCAAGAAAGATATTCCTATGGAGGAATCAGATGGGCTAAAGTCAGTATGGAGAAGAGGTGCAGAGGGATGTGTTGATGGATTGACTGACTTACAGACTGACTCCCCAACAGTCCACCATGTCTGTCTCATGTCTGAGTCATGCGTGACTCTGTCCTGGGTCTGGGTCACATTGGGTCTGGAGGGTGCACCATGGCTCTCTCCCGGGACTGGGTCACATTGGGTCTGGAGGGTGCACCATGGCTCTGTCCCAGGTCTGGGTCACATTGGGTCTGGAGAGTGCAATGGGGATTGTTTCCTCCTGTGCTTCTGAAAGATTTCCAGCAAACACTCTGTGGGGGCATTGTGGGCTTATTGAATTGCTGACCACTTGACAAGCCTGTGAGTTATGGTTAGAGGTGCCCACAGCCCAAATGCCCAGGGGCAGAGTCAGATGACAGAAGGCCTGTTTGAATTACGACTGTGGTCACACAGAGCAGACCATTACTCTGTTCTCCCCGTCAGCTTGAATTACACCTCAGATGCCCGATACATTTTATTTCAAGATAACCAAGCCCAATAAAGCACAAATAATGTCTTGGGCCTGGGCAAAGAGCAGCTCTTAAAACAATAACAGCCTGACCCATGTATGCATCATCTCAATTCATTCAGCCCCATCATTTAAAAAAATAAATAGCCGAGTGGGTAGTAAAATTTACTGTGCCAGACCTAAGTCTGGAGCCAGCAGGAAGACTTTCTTCTAGGAAACACAAAAACCTTCCTGATGCTGATGGAAGAATGCTGGGTCCATCCATCCATCCATTTATTTTCAGGGACCACCTATTATTGCCCATACTACCACAAAATAAGTGAAATAAAATCCTTACCTAAGGTTTGTAAATCTATCCAATGCCTCTGCATTCTTTGTTTGCTTGTTTTTAGCAGGTTTTGTGTTTAGGGTTCGAAATTTCAGTGCCTCCTTGCCAGTTCTCCTCAGTTCCATTCTGCACTTGGTCCCTGTGGCCAAGCTGATGGACAGAAGATGCTGATCCTGACGGCCCTCCTGAGCTTTCAGCTTCCCCCTTCACTCAGATACGCTGGCACGAGGAGGTGAGGCTGCTCTGTCACCTGGGTCATCATCATCCTCTGCTCAAATATTACATTACATTAGCTCAGAGTAATTATTAAATATGGAATCATTTCAAACAGGCTGATAGATCAGATGTTCAGCGTGCTGCCTGATGTCACTATGGTGCAGATGGTTGACTGCAGATGGAGACACAGAGGGCTTTTCCTGCTGCCTTCATGCTACATTGCCATTGTGGACTCCAGTTTCATTGCTTGTGAAATACCATTTAATTTATATCTCAAAACAATGTGGTGAAATATCAACTTTCCCCTAGGGGACAGTATTCTAAGGAAGGAATCTTTTGGCTACACAGCACTGGTGTGTTCTCTCCCTGACGCTGGCGTGACCAGACACCGGACATCCCTCCATGCTGGGTTTATATAACATTCCCACAGAGCAGCCGTGTTCAGCTCTAATGCTGTCAAGTTCAGCGAAACACCACACTCTGGGAGGGGGTGGGGGATGCAGGAATGGAGTTACATATGTTTAGGGGAAGCTGGAGATTCAGGAACATCACAGTACATCATAGCCAGCAAAAGTTGTGGTTAATTAGTTAATTTTATGAATTTGCAGCACAGAAGTGGGCTTTGTTCCTTTTAACGGTATGAATATTATGAATAGTTTACTGCTATTTTAAGCTATGGATTAATATCTTGTCTCATTTTATTTCACAGAGACAGGCCTGTTATTCCCAACATGGTGGCCAACGAAAAACCCTCACTATCGTTATGCCGGCACCAATGATAGCCAATCCCCTTTTTTATTGGCAGAGTAAGATGAAAGGGGAGGAGCAAACAGGGCTCCTTTGATTGGCCTTTTAGAATGAAATGAAACTAAATGGTGTTTTTATTGTACATTTGCATAAGTATGAGCACAGGTACATTGAAATGCTTCATTACGCATATCCCATCATGCTCTCCTTTGAGACACACACATATATATACAGGAGAGAGGGAAGCTTGGGGTCCGAGCACAGTGGCCAGCCGTGGATCCAGTGCCCTGGAACTTTGGCCGCATTCTGGAGGCCCTGACCGTCGCTCGCAGACAGCATTAGCACATTTAAATAGAAAGCAGGATGGAAAAGGTCACAGCACGCGAGAGTTACCCATCGCTACAGTGCTGTAGCTGATTCAGGGCTCAGCAACAAGCACATCAGTCTTGTCGACGGGTTCAGTGTAAGTCAGAGAGTCGTCCAAGAGCAGCGTGTGCCTGGCCCCCACGGAGTGGCCGTGTCCTCAGCCAGAGACGCATGGGTCCCGCATCTGGACATGCATTATTACAAGTGAGCATATACAGTGTATGTGCTGGGAGCAAAATTAAACTAAACAAAAGTAAATCCCCGTGAGAGCAAAATATCCAAATGAAAACAATATATCACAGGAGCCAAAAAGACAGATGATGATGTTCCTGGGGGGGCTGCTATCTGGACACCCCCGAGCATCGCTGGCACACAAATGAAGGTGACCCAGCCACTGTCAGGGGGGTTCCTCACACACGTCTCCCCATCCTTCTGAATTAGAGCTCTTGGCATGTAATCAAGCCGGCTGGAGGCGCGGGGGGGGGGGGTTGGGGTGGGAAGGGGAGGAGGAGTTGGTACACCAACCTGTCAGCAAACAACAGGTGAGTGATGCTCCTGGCAAGTCCTGATTTTGCGGAGTTTGATGGGTTCCTGGATCAACAAGGGAGGGGCTTGTCTTTCACTTCTTTAACCAATCACAGTCTTCATTGTATGACATCACCACATTAACTAAAGCCAGTGTTTTCCATTAAGTGGCAAGATGCACAGATACAGTACCCATTTTATTGTCTATGTCTGTTGTTAAGGAACATGTCATAGATATAAAACACAGAAACATGTTTACCTGCAAAGGCTGTACGGAGCAACGTATGGGTGTGTGTCTATTTCATGATGATAATAATGCCGAACTGGCGGCCATCTATTCACAGGCAGCCTGCTGGGCCACACATCACCCCTGGCTCAATGGCTGGAAGCCTTGAGTTTGAAAATGAGAAGAAAAAGGACCAATGTGGTGATGTCATCCAATGAAGACTGTGATTGGTTAAAGAAGTGAAACGCAAGCCTCTGCCTTATCGACCAAGGGACGTCAAAGGATGTCTTAGGCTCCTCTGCAGATGGCACCGCAGCCCGGTCGATGCCAGCCAGGGAGATGGGCAGCGGGAACACCCCTGCGGCCCGTTCTGTACTGGCAGTGTATCCTACATGGACCCACGTCGCTCATGCCAGACCACTCAGCCAATCGTTTACCAGGCCGGTAGCTGCTTCATGGAACCTTATCACCAGCCCAATCCGATACCTCATGTTCTTATCCAGACAGATTTTTCTTGCCCCCCCCCCCCCAAGAGGGTGAACACTGACAGATGCGCCGCTGTGTTTCCGGAACATGCCGGTTTGTCGTCTGAGCTGAGTGCTGAAGTTTCGCCGCAGACTGAGGGGAGGCGCTGTCCGCCCAGCTCCCAGGTGATCATCCCTCCTACAGGAGGCCTCATTAGGGCAGAGCACCGGGGCTGAGTGACAGAACAGCAATGGATCAGCAGGGCGGACGTGAAAGCTGCAGCCCACATGAAGGGGCCTCTGTGAGCCCTGACAGCTCCTGAGACGAGACAGCGGGCTCAATGAGACAGGGGGCGGCGGCCGCGGCCTCGGCCGGCATCGGCGGGCTGCTTTATTATTTTTTACAATGTACAATATACAAAAATAGAGAGTACCAAAAATTCACAGTGTCTAAAAGGCAGTGATTACAGTCGATATCCAACAGTACCAACAGGTCAGTTGCATAGAAGGGCACCAAGCCTTCGGGATGGAGCTCAGGCAACACAAATACTCACAGGTCGAGGGCGTCTAATTGTAAATGATCACATGGTGGGACTGGCCAATCATAATCAACATGAATACTTTTTTAAGGTGGATCATGTGTACGGTGGGCTACTTACAGAGGTCCTCAAGAAAATGCAAACAAAATCTAAACACTAAATCAAATTGAAGGTACAATTTCCAATCTTCCATTTTTTTCCGTAGAGGACGATCCTACAGCCGATTAAAAATGGAACCGTGCTACTGGGCGACTACAATAAAGTCCTGGTAAGATTATTAAATGCTGAGGCAACTGAGGAATTAAGCGGGCGATTACTACCTGCCGCCACAGGGGGCGCCGAGGCCCAGCCAGAAGCAGGAGGCCAGCAGGTGTCACGCCACCCAGCAGGGGATAATGCAGGCTCCATCCCCCAATCTCTGTGTTGGCATTTACACACCTTCTGCACTTTTTACAACTATAAGGCTTTTAAAAACAGTGTTAGCTATACAATATACATTTACATGATACAGACATCAGGTTATAGCGCCTCCTATGTACAGACGGGGCCATCGCATTTAGCTGAACAGGAACAGGCATGATGAAGGTCATTTTGAAAGTGTTCCTCACATCCTGATCATCAGGGCAGCTCACGAAATGTCAGATTCCTGGACACCAGCTTCCACTGGCTGGATGCTTTATACAGGTTTCATGGCCCGGTGCGTTTACTTGAACATGTGAAAACACAAGACCTAGAAGCCCCTCCCCCTCGCAAAGTGAACGCACACACAGGGAGGTTCAGACAGGCTTTGAAATCCTGATCGCATAGCTAAAGAGCCAGAGCTAGTAGGCTTCAGCAAAAGAGGCCAGCCTGGACGGGGGGGGGGGGGTCGATGGTGGTTGTACACGTTGATGCAGCCAGGGCTCCATTTGCAAATTAAACTCGGTCGTTCATCTTCCAGCCGATAAGGAGCTGAAAAGGACGAGTAAGCGGTGATGGGAAAGACGATTTCATCTCCGATACAGTCTCAGTTACAGCCCCAAGTCCAGAGCGGGCCGCAACACACCCACGTACGGCACTGGTTAAAGACAACTCCTGCACCCTACCTTCAGGCCTTAAGATTTAAGCAGGCGTGCAGTTACAGCAGAAACCGATCGGGAGAGCGTCTGAAGGAGGCAGCAGGGCTCAGGCTGCGACAACATGCTGCCGCGTTCAGTCACCCCTGCGTCCATCTCATGCACACACCTGTGACACCCTCACACGCCACAATGCATTCCATTGACATCATTTCACTGCGGAACCCATTTTGGTCCAATGTTTGAATAGACATTTCCAGAATAGTAACTGTAGGAAGCAAATAAAACAGGCTAAGCAGACACGTTTGCTAATTTCCTCGAAAGCTTTCTTTGAAGGAGTGATATTTTTGACAGTGTTTTCGAGAGCAGGTCAGTACATATAGCATAAGCTCCGAGAGGACAGGGAAATTGTCCCGTTTCCAGTGAGACAGTCTTCAGGGTATGCGCTCGGTCACCTTGTCCTCGTAGTTCATTACAGTGACTTTGTTCTGTGTCTGTTAGGAGTCTCACACTGCAGCTGAGGCTCCAGTACATGCTTGGGTCATCCTTCCCTGACGGGTTCTTTTCACTGTTCCAGATTCCCCCCCCCCCTCCCCCACCCCTTACAGGTGCAGGAAAACCAGACCGAACGCTAATAAGTTTGTGGAAAAACATCCCAAAATGTTTCGCCTTCAAGGACACTTAAACACACCAATGCGACAGATGCCCCTCTCGCACGTCCGAAGCAGTCCGGCTCTGTCCCCTGTGCTTATTTAGTCCTTGCGTCTCTTTAGAAGCGCCCTCTGAACTCTGCCACGTCCATTAAGCGTAATATAACATGAGGAAGAGATGGAGAGCCGTAAGGTCAGAGCTTCCCGGTTCCCCAGCGGATGGCAGTCCGACCAGGCCAGCCGCGTCACCGTTTGGGGGACGGTCCTCAGCTGTGCGTGTAGGTCCTGCAGGGGGGTGGGGACGAGTCCGGCCGGTAGTCGTACTTGTTGATGGTGGCAGGATAGTAAGTGGTGGTATAAACGTTAGTCTGCTGAAGCGGCGAGGGGAAGTAGTTGGTCCTCTCATCCGGGAGAAGGTTGTTCTTGTTCAGCGTCTGCAGAGGGCAGAAAAGACAGCGTGTCAGGAAGCAGGGGTCGGTAGATCAGCGGCACTCCACGATGAACCAGCTAGAGCTCTAGGCTCAAACTGGGTACCCTTTACACCACTGTGGATATTACTGACCAGGGTGAGACAGTCACAGCATCCAGCATAACAGGAGCATCACCAAAAAGCCGACAGCAGCAGAGACCTATGCCGCACAAGGCAGCAGTCACTGACCTATATTTCCAATTATCCACCACCTTTCTGCACCTTCCATGTGCACTTGAGGCCCAGGGGCTGTTCTGCTGCACTTTGACAGATAATCCATGGAATCACATTCTGCTTCATTTCAAAGGATCCTCTCTTCTCTGCTGATGTCACACATTGTGGCTCTGCCAGCCTATCAGGAAAACGTTTGGAAAATATAGCCTATAGCTCCACTGCAACTGCCAGGGCCTCCCCTGCCAAAATACATGCATGCACATGGGCACGCACACACACATGCACACACACATGCACACACGCACGCACGCATGCTAATGCTAACTATGACAACCTTAACCCCTACCCTAGCCGTAACCATAACCATAAGTAACTAAGCAAAATACTTTTCAGTATTTTGAAAGTCTTTCAAGATTTTCAGTTTTTTGATTGCAGTCACAGATTTTTATAAAATTGAGATTGCCATTGTAGGGACCAAAAAGGTGGTCCCCACAATGTCAAAATATCACATTGTGGGGACATTAGCTGCATTGGCTTGAGAGAGACCAACTGGGCAGCAGCAGTCAATGACAGCCATCAGGGGAGATAAACAGGTGTCAGAGGAAGGATGAAGGAGAAGGATCAGGCGGCAGCTAATTCACAATCCGTCACAAACAGCCGTCAGAGTGCGGCAATCGTCTAACACGTAAACAGCCTAATGCAGGCCATTAATAAAGTCGGCGGGATTGAGAGGACAGGGGCTACAGCGCTTTCAGAATGGGGCTAACGGCAAATAAATTACATGGTTGACAAAAGGAAACAAGTACAAGTTTTCAAAATGAGCCACAAATGGGAGAAACTTTTCTGCTCGTCGTTTGAGTGCTTTCAGCTGGCAGTAGGGTTTTGGTTTGGGTAACCTTGAACTCCATGGATGTTAGGGTTTTGGTTTGGGTTACCTTGAACTCCATGGATGTTAGGGTTTTGGTTTGGGTTACCTTGAACTCCATGGATGTTAGGGTTTTGGTTCGGCTTACCTTGAACTCCATGGATGTTTGGGTTTTGGTTTGGGTTACCTTGAACTCCAAGGGTTTTAGGGTTAGGGTTTGGGTTACCTTGAACTCCAAGGGTTTTAGGGTTAGGGTTTGGGTTACCTTGAACTCCATGGGGGTGTACTTCTCGTTCTTTGGCGTGGTGTTGCCCTTGTAGTTGAGGTGGTTGGGCGTGGTGGGATGGATGACGGCCGACTCCTGTGACGGCTTGTGGAACCTCTGGCAGTAGACATACACCAAAAAGCTCAGCAGGCCAGCACCCAGGAAGCAGGAGACGCCGGTGGCGATCAGGTGGATGAGTGTGAACGCTGCGGAGGAGAAGGGAGGCAGCACTATGAGAAGAACATTCTCATCAGGAGGGAGACACAGAGAACCAGATGTAACAAAAAGCCTTGTAGATATGAGACAACTGTTCTTAAAGCCCACCCCTGGACTGAAGAATCACTATGGGACCAAGATGAGGTTCATGGTGGTGCGGAGCTGCCAACACTGGGCTGCTCCAGAGGAACCCTGGGTAACCTATATGCCATATGTACAGCACCCAGAGGCTCTCACATCGGCTGTAGCACCTTGACCTTTCCAGGTTCCTGATTAGTGTCACCCCTCAGCCTGGCCACAAGATGGCGCTTATTTGCACGAGGGAGACATCTGAACTGTCTGACGGGCCGGGCTGAGGAGAGTGGACTGGGACAGATGGCCTGCGGCCCCAGATAGGAGGCAGCGGATTGTTCTTTGTGGGTGAAGCGACACACTCCATGTGCTCGCTGGGCGGGGTTTACCAACACAACATCAAACAAGTGCGGGACGGACAGTGCTCATCGACGTACCCCCACAGTGCAGGTTCTTGTCAAAGCTGGATGCAGGAAGGATCACTGTAGGAGAGACAGGCCATTATCACCAAGCCCAAACAGCAACACGCTCCGCAGAGTCTCACTGCTGCAGAGTTGCCTCTTCGTGTAACAAAACGCTAATTATACTGAGATAAAGGGGAGGAGCCAGCGTAAGCAGCTGGGGGGGGGGGCCCGGCCCGTGGGGGAGGTGGAGGACGCCAGGCAGGGGGAGGCAGCCCTGACCTCTCGGAGGGTGTCAGTTTCCTGCGAGTCTCTTCAAATCAGTGTTTCCCCGGAAGAACAAAGAGAGAAAGAGCCCACTACTGAAAGGCAATTAATTTCCATAATTCTTATCTGCCTGTCACCTTGGCCCCTCTGTTGTACAGAAACACGGCACGACTGAGGCAAATCCCCCCTCTTTGAAGGTGGGGGGGCATTTTAATTAAGATATTCGCAATCTCGCTCCGTCCCTCTCTCCCCTGACATTCGGACTGTACATCGCTCTCTAAAGCCGAAGCTGCCTGAATGTAATTGACTGCTGAAACGTAACATTGGCACATAGCGCACTCGGCTCGCTCTGCATTGTGGGTCACGGTTAGACACACACCAGAATGCACCACCCCCCCCGCAGGGCTCACCTGGGATCTCGTTGAGCTGGCACTCTCGGCTCTCGGTGCCGTTTCCCGGGCATGGGCCTGATCCGGGTTCGGGGCTCCCGCTGGGCTCCTGACAGGTGCGGCTGCGCAACTGCAGTCCGGTGTCCTCGCAGGGGCCCCAGGCCGACCAGGCCATCCAGCCACCTGCAGGGGGCAACAGAGAGACAGAGTCAGAGGTGGCACCAGCTTCCAGGATGTCAACAGGAACCAGGTCAGATCGTTTGCTGCCATGAACCATGAAGCAGTGTAATGGTTTAACATGCGAGAAGAGCATGAACTGCAAACAGAAAGAAAACATTTACCATGTGGGTGAGGAGGAACGTCAGAGAAATTACACTTGCAAATGTACCTTTTTGGACAGCTGGGGCACATGCATGGATGTATGAATATTAAACTTTCTGCTGTCCTGCTGTGCTCTGCAGTCACTGCTGACCGCATTAAGGCCCTCCAGCTTATCGACGCCGTAAAGCTAATAGCCCTGTCAATTGAAAGGCATCACTAAGCGCCCTTCATTCAATACAGTGAATAGTTTTCTCATTATAGCAATGCAGAGGGGTGTGTAGCACTGATACGCAGCATAGCGCTGCTCCTCCCTAAGTGTGTTGTGGGGGCTTTAAAGGCCAATCTGTATGTACGGTGATTGCGGGCATTCAAGGTGCAGTCGTGTGGTGGGGTACAGGTCTGACAGGCAGGTCATGGAATTGCAGTAGGCTACAGGTCTGTCACATGAGTCGTGGCTGTGCAGTAGGCTACAAGTCCAACATACAGGTCAGAGGCGTGCCGTGAGCTACAGGTCCAACACACAGGTCACAGGCGTGCAGTGGGCTACAGGTCCAACACGGTGATGGGCGTGTGGTGGGCTACAGGTCGGACATGCGGGTCACAGTGCTCGGTGGCCTACAGGTCAGACTCCTGATTTGCAGGTATGCAATGCAGTGGGCTACAGATTGGATAGTTGTGATATGGCCATTCTGTAGGCTACAGGTTGGACATGTAGGCTGCAGCATGCATGTGCTATGGGTCAGACTCCTGGGTTGCAGGCATGTAGTGGGCTACAGGCCAGATACATGTGTTGTGGGCATTCTGTAGGCTACAGGTCGCAGGTTGCTTGCATGCAATAGGCTACAGGTCAAATATGTGTGTTGCGGGCATTCTGTATGCTATAGGTTGGACATACAGGTTGTGTAGGGGCTACAAGTCATTAGAGGAATGGTAGCGAACTTCGGCGTACCAACGGCAGAGTTAATGGACAGGTTTGACTGTGTGATGAAAAGCAGCTGTATGCACTGGGAGCCCAGGCTTCCTCCTCCATGACGCATTACGTGTAAGATGTGGGGATCATTCTCCTGGGTCGCATCTCCTCAGCCAATATTGTTTTAGCTTTCACAGCTGTTTCCACTACATAGAATAAGAAGTTTGGTATTTAAGGAAACGACTCCTGGGCCCATATTCACAAAGCATTTTATCTTGCCACTAAGAGTACTCCTAAATTGCACTAAAACTTTTTAACTATGAGTTTTTTCCTAAAATCAATTCACAAAGTAGCTGAGAGCAACTTTTACTTAGAAAGAGCCAACACCTAAGCTACGAGTAAGACTCCGTTGCTTTGGCTGACGTCAGTTCTCATGCATGAGCTTACCTGCAATAATCACGGGGAGCCTTAAGATGCTTTGTGAATATGAGCCCTGGATGCTAAGAGATACGTTTCTGGACACACAAGCTGGAGCCTTTCGGAGACGTTCACTTTCAGGAAGTCCCAGAGTTACCTTGCTGCATAAATATTTTACTCACCACTGGGTAAAGTTCTGCAAAAGCCATATTGAGCAACACACTTCCATCCTGTCAGAGTTATATAACGAGCTGAATTACAGGCCGAATGCTCCCCGCCTCTGTACTCGTCCCTCGAGGCCTGTCTCTGGCCAGTACCCAAAATGCACCACTCCTATCAGCAAAAACACACGGCGGCTGTGTCCTGCGCGACTCATCATCAGTTTGGGTGACGCCGGGAAGTGGCATGATGGCACTTTAGCTAATTAATCACAAACAGACAATCTCCTGTAATATCACGTGTAAGAAAGCCTGCCACTGCATGCTAGTCTCACTGAAAATCATTTTCACCATCTGACTGTATAACTATCACCCCAGCCCCCCCACACACCCCCCATCTGGCACCTAATTATTCTTAATCATTCATCTATTCTTATAATCATACAGCTCACAGAATGAAATTAATTCATTACGAAATATTATATGGTGGCGGTCGCCAGATATACTGCGTGACTCTCTATGCCTTTTTATCACGGACTGCAGCACATCAACAACCCACCATAAATCCAGTGAAAAAATGTGCAGCTAATTACTCTGCCATGTATATAAATGACAGTGGTGAAGCATAACCAAAAGTGTGCCTTTAAAAGCCCTCCCTCCGGGAGGCGCCATGGAGCATACCGCCATCTCACACCCTCAGGTGATGCAAATGAAGCTGAGCCAATGAGGCGGGAGGATGAATATTCATCAGCCAATAAGTGTTATGACAGGAAGAGCAACTCTGTACCTTAAGCTGGCGATAACACCTCGCTAAAGCCCCGTCTGTCTCTCCGGTGCATTTTCAAGAATTTATTTTTAAACTGCCTCAGAGGAGCAAATAATTAAAGTGTCTTTGTACTGTCACTGTTCTGCAGGCTTCACCCTCACAGGGGTAAATAATGAAGTCCGGCCAACTGTAACACTCCCGGTACATGCAGTCCTTACCCTCCTAGGGGTAAATAGTGAAGGCCGGCCCGCTGTGACACTCCCGGTACATGCAGTCTGTGTGTGCTGTCTCTGTGCTGCCGCCCTGCAGTCCTTACCCTCCTAGGGGTAAATAGTGAAGGCCGGCCCGCTGTAACACTCCTGGTACTCGCTCTCAGTGTGTGCTGTCTCTGTGTTGTCATTGTGCAGGTCTTACCCTCACAGGGCTGCGTGTTGCACAGAGCCTCCTCCGTGTGCAGGCCGATACAGATGTCGCCTCCATCTGCAGGGGCAGGGCTGCTGCAGCTGCGTGTTCGCTGGTAGTGTCCCCCACCACAAGTGACTGAGCACTGTGACCAGGGGGACCAGCAGGACCAGGCGCCCCTAACTGCACACGTCAGACAGGGACAGAGAGGTGAGACAGCAGCTGTAACGGGACCCGACTGTCTTTGTGTACGAAACAGAGCTCACAGTCTGCCCCTCCCTGCTAATGAAACATCGCAGCTGGATGTTGATCTAGACCCTCCATCCAAACGGCACGCTCTGCCAAGGCCGTTGGCATGACACTGGCTTCCTCTCAATCCCGTAGCTCATAACTCCCACTCCGTTCCTGGGTGGTTTCACCGGCCCGCACCACCCCCGGAGGACCAGGCGGGGGCGTCGCATTACTGCGCTGCTGGCTGGGCTCCTAGCTCACAAATGAACAAATAAATAAAACCAGAAAGTATCTGGCTGTGTGCAGCTAGAGTAATAGAAATGGCCCGCCCTTCGACCATGGGGTCGAAGCCCATATGACGCCCTAGGCAACTTCTCATCACTGGTGCCCTCTAGGGGCCTCATAGGCTTTTACTGGCACTGCAAGTGCAGCAAAGACTCTTACATCTATGGGAACCTGCCTTAATCACCACCAGGAGGCAGATCTGTGGGCTGTAATGCACTGCACCAGTGTTTGGGTATTTTCAACTGTGTCTAATGGCTTAAGATTAAATTAAACATGGAACATGAATAATTAGGAGGCTACATGAATGAGCCGAGGTGCGGAGCTCAGACAACAAATCTGGCCAACTATATGAAGGGGAACGGGGGCCGGATCGTGAAAAAGCTCAAATTAAAGGAGCGTCTGGGCATATGGCAATGATGGAGATGGACTGTGTGTTAATGAGAGTATGATACGGGCGACCTAGTAGCGAGTTCTACCAGGATAATATGAGCTATGTGGCAGGGCACGATGGGGCATGGGAGGCCAGCAGGATGGGGCAGAATGGGGTAGGAGAGGGCATGGGAGGATTCAGCTGAATGGTGTAGGAGGGGGCAGGATGGGGCAAAATGGGACAGGGTGAGGCAAGTTGGGGGAGGACAAGGCAGAGACGTACCTGGGCAGGCCTGGGGGTTGCACTCCTGGTACTCCACAGCAGAGCCGCTGCACACTGTAGGGGCGCTCTTGCCCTCGGGTGTGGCACAGGTGCGCTTGCGGGTTCGGAATCCAGTGGCACAGTCCCGCGAACAGGCTGACCACGTCTCCCATGGCGTCCAGCCGGTGCCAGCCACTCGTACCACGGGCCGGCCCGTCTTCAGCAGGTCCTCCACGAGAGCTGCGGAGGAGGAGCACAGAACATCATCTGAAGACCTACAGTCGGGGGGTATCCCTGAGATAAGCCCCACCCCCGAGGAAGCCCCACCCCCGAGGAAGCCCCAGATCTTCATCCCAATTAATGTGCATAAGAGGCTTAAAATAAGATGTTTAAGTAGCTCTGGATATAAAAAATTAAAAATGTTGAATAGGACACACACACACACACACACACACGCACACATGCAAACATATACACACACGTTCATGACACCCTCTGCATGGGCTTGCGGTTGGTTTCGCATAAGTGGCACTCTGGGAACTGCCATGACGAATTAGGCAGTTAGCAAAAGGGATTAAGTGCTCAGACAAGAAAGGGAATAGGATCAGTATTAGCCTGCAAAGTGCTTCCCCTTTCAGCAAAAATCATAGGTATGACTCAGATCATTATCAGAGCTCTGGAGGCTTCATTATTTTAACTCTGGACTGCTGGCTTCTTCTTTGAGAAAGAATTATTATTTATTTACTTATTTGGAAATTGCGGCAATTCTTGTCCACACACATTAAGAGGACATTTGCTTGATGTGTGCCTGGTGCTGAGGGTTGTCTTGCTATTTCTACACTAACTGCTCCGTGGATGGAACTGCCAATAATCCCCCAGAGCTGCTACTCTGACTCCCGTTTCACTTTGGCCTTTTTCCTCTGATGCACAATAACTTTGAAAAGCACCGCAGACCGTTTGCGCGGGACTGCGGGGCGGCGGTGAGATTTCACCGAGCCGGGAGCCTGTTATTCTTCAGAGGACAGACGGCTTTGTGGGGTATTCGAGCTGAGCGGTGACAGAGCCGCACTCTCGTTAGCATTTCGGGACAGTTCTGTTTACATCTTGTTTTTTCATCCTGAGAGCCTCATTTTTCCCCCTTAAAGCATCCACAGCGAAACGCTGGCATCCTCTGAGGGCTGGTATGGGAATAAAGAGCCGGTTAGAGGAGCCGTGGGCTTTCGCTCCGTCCTGAAACAGCACTTCATGGCATGCGCTGAGGAGGGTAGGCCCTTAGCACGCCGGTCACACACACATTGACCCAGAAACACCCATTCCACTCCAACGTGCCGTCCTCTGTGATTACAAGTGAGGCTCACGGCCAATCGGAGTCTCCCAAAAGACATTTCACTTCAGTGTTTAAAGGCGGAAGACACATTTATCTGTTTACACGATAAACACCGTCCCTCTAATGTAAGCAGGGACCCCTCACTCACACAGGCAGATGTGGAGACTCCCTCCTTCCCCACTACCCTCATCACACGTCTAAACCTCCACAAATAAATGCACCCAGCAGGCATACGAATGAACAGACACTCCAAGCTCCCGTAATGCGACAGGGCCGGGCGGCGAGGCTCACTGTCGGTCTCGCAGGCGGAGGAGCCGTCGTTGGGACAGAAGCGCGTCTCCACCTTGCGTCTGCCCAGCTGCAGCTCGTGGGGGTCGGCCAGCTGCGCACGGCAGCTGTAGCGGAGCCTCTGCTCCTGCCGGGCGCCACCCTGTGTCACGTTGACGGGCATCCAGGGTGTCCAGGGCGTGTTGCGACGCACCTCTGGGCACGCTTCAAGGTTGCAGATCTTGTACTCCTGTGGGGTGGGGTGGGGGGATTCTGTGAGACGTGGCTGTGTGTGGGGGGGGGGTCCTTCACATCCTGTTATTAACACACACTGTGACTCACAAACAGAGGGATAAACACCTCAGTCTCACCCCCCAGTTCACTTTGGAGATGCTCAGTAAGACTTCATTTAATTCCTAAGTAGTGTAATTAAATTTGAATGGATCTTAGCTCTTTAACACCAGTGATCACTTTAAGGGGATAGTTAATGTTACAGGCCCCGCCCCCCCCTCTGCGTGACACTAGGCCTGACTTACGTGGCTTGATATCGAACGGTATACTTAAGATGGTGTGCTAGAGAGGAACGCCATATTGAATAGGCGGCCCCCCACCACGATGGAGAAATGGAGCTGTGTTCAGCCGCATGTTCAGCCCTGACTTCATGCCCCCCTCCCCCACCACGGTTCTTCAGACAGCCTCTATTGATTCATTCTCTAGCACTGTCATCCCAAAAATAAATTACTCTTTTATTGAAGTACATGGACAGTCTGTAGGTTAAATAAGCCTAAACTACCCCCTGACCTACAGGCAAGGAGATAACAGAAAGAGACATCTCTGCCTGGGGCACTGTAGTTATGCACCAGCACACTAGCCATTTCCGTCCAGCTCAGTGGCGCCCCCTAGTGCCAGAGGCGCTGTGGGTAACTTACCAGCGCACATCCCGGGCAGCCATTTCCGTTCTCGCAGTTCCTGACGCGGGAATGGACGCCGCCTCCACACTCAGTGCTGCACTTAGTCCAGGAGCCCCAGCTGGACCAGAGGACGGGTAGCGGGCAGGAGACCTTCTCGTTGCACAGTCTGCAGACAGTCAAATGCTATTAGCACCAACGTCACACCACTTCAGACCACCCCCACCCCTGAGCACTAACCCCCGCATCCGTGAGTCCCTGCAGCAACTGCATTCACGCATCATTAATATGTCTGCTAATTGGCATCAAGCAGGCTGGTTCATTTATAGACAGCCTTAGTAAGAGATCATCTCAAAGACCTACTGCACTTCCTCATAGGTCCAGGACCGGGGGTTCAAATCCCACCAAGTAGTCCCAGTTGCTCACCTCTCCTCTCGGCTCTGTCCCACGCAGACCCTACCCCCATGTCTGGGTGAGGGATTGTTGCAGGATCGCTGTCGCACTTCGAACCCAATTCCACAGCTGGTGCTGCAGTGGCCCCAGGACGACCAGGGGGTCCAGCCCCCGTTCCTGCAGCACATATGAAGCGTTACTCATGTAAATGCTGTTCCTGGGGTACAGAGTTCCCGCAGCCTGCAGACATGGACTCTACTCCATGCTGGGCTTCCTCGTGGGGGGAGGGTCAGTATCCGCCCCAGCGCCTCCAGGTGGCACAGGAGGTCTGACGTCTCACCAGACCCTTCAGGTCTGACAATGATCCACAGTTCGATTGAAAAGCCTAATGAATATTTTAAGCTGTGCATTCGAATGTGTTTTTCCCACAAGGCTCCATAAATGCTGGTTTATTCTTAAACGACAGAGAAAACTGCAGAATCTTTTTCAGTCATCATCTAAAACACATCGAAAGACGAGGCCAGCGAGGTTCAGGGAGAGCTCTAAGTACATTAAAATTCCTTCAATTTGCCTAAGTGCTTTGTTCTGGCAGGGCTCCGTTTCGTGATTTAATTGCGGCTTCCTGTGAAGCTGAACCCAACCTTGGCTCCCGCTGTAACTTTTAATCTGTCAGGGGAAGGCAGAGAACGCAGAATGTCGGTCTGGACAGAAGAGATCAGCGGCACAGGGATGGCCCGGAGGTCTGTTGCCTCTGCCCATTAGCGGCCCCCAACGTGGGGAGGGTGTGGAAGTTCCCGGAAGGGCCAAGGGTCTCTCTGGTTACCCCTGATTATCAGCGCCCTGCTCACCTTCTTTGTTCATTCTGCCGGTGCTGATACAGTGACCCTGTCGCTCCCCTGCTGCCGTCCCTGTGACCCTGGTCTCTCTCGCAAAGACACGGCTTCTCTACACTCTCGGTAATCAGGCTGCTGGAGCGTCACTGTCTGCCCTGTCGTCACCCATGTGCCTCTTTCTCCTCACCTGGAGCAGTTGGACACCTCCATGGTGGGGCCCTCGCAGTTGCGACCCCCGCAGCGGGGGGTGGGGCTGTCGCACGGCCGCAGGCGGCACAGGCAGGAGCTGCTGCTGTCCCCGTCGTCATGGCTGCAGGGTTGCCATGGAGCCCAGGGCCCAAAGCCACCATTGACAGTTAAGTTTCTCACCTGCAGCAGAAAATAAGGAGCTGGATTGGGGAACAGACGGGGACTGACTCTAATCCACAGATCGTAAGTAGAGACTGATTTTGCACCAGAAAGAAACGAAGGCGGTGTGTTTTCTGAAGAGTTACACTGTAACACACTGTAACACACTGTAACACACTGTAACACACTTACCACAGCAGCTAAAGCCTCCATCATCGTTACAATTTCTCCCACCCCAGAGACTTACTGGACATTCTGTGATGTTCTGGCTCCACTGGCTCATGTTGGAGCTGTCCTCAATGGTGGTACAGCGCCGCTGCTTCCGGTCCCAGCCACAGTAAGGGTCCCGCGCTTCCAGGCACAGCCTGCAGGGGGCCACAGCGAGAAAACAGCATGTGACGGCCGAACACAACAAAAACACATGCGTGCACACTACCAGCCATCACGCCTGACAAGGCACCAGACAGCGAGAGTGAAACAAATCGACGCAAATGTGCCACAGCGAAGGGTCTCCCACAGCAATTATACGTTCGTAAGCTGTGCAAAAACGGGCTAATTGAGGAGCAATTAAACCTCAAAGGCTGTTAATGAAATGAAGCACTCAAACCCAGCTGTGGTATAGGGTGTGTGCAGGTAATGCATGTGTAGTACCAACATACACACAAACACACAGGTTTGTAATTATATCTTTGTGGGGACTCCCCATTCATCTCTATAGGAAAAATTCTAATCCCAACATGAGAACCCTAACCCCTACCCAGCCCTAACCTTAACCATAAGCAACTAAACAAAATACGAGACATTTTTAGTTTTTTGATTGCCTTCACAGATATTTGTGGGGACCTGAAATAACAGGTTTTTATTACATTGTAGGGAACATTTGGTCCCCACAATGTAATATAAACATAGTCACACATACACATTTTTTGATGCCAGTTACAGATTTTTAAAAAACTGAGTTTCCCCTTGAAATGGGGAAAATGGTCCCCACAACATCAAAATAACTAGTTTGGTCCCCACAATGTAACACACACACACACACACACACACACACACACACACACACACAAACCCCCCTGCTGTGGAAAGAGCCCCAGTCTGGCCACACAAAATGTGTTTCTGCAGCACACTCCAGCGAAACACCAAATCAGGAGGCGCGACGGTGACCTCCAATCAGCTCCGCGCTGCTTCATAACGACCTCGTCACGATCCGGCTCCTTCTTTGTACGACGCCCGCGATATGATTTTGCAGCTCAATTGGCCAGAACATCACAGAAACCGATTTAGCATATCGTGACAATAAACACTGGTAATAGAATCACCTCACCGAACACGAATTATTTACAGACAAATCAGCACTTTAGACGAGCGAAATTAATGACATTTACGGCAGGCCCTTGCTGCTGATTTAAAGCGTCATTTTAACCGGGGATTAACCAGAGCAAGAGACAGACCCCATGGACAGGGACCCTGGGGCCAAGTCATTTACCGACAGACCTGCCCACACTCCATTAATTACAGCAAGCTGAGAGATCATCAGCACTGAGGCCAGGCCACGCGGTGCCAGCAAGCGCCCAGGCAGCTCTGAGTAATGCTGCTCTCCTGCAGCCAAAGCGGGGCGTCCTCACGGAGACCAACGCCAAGACCCACGGCGACGCGTGCTGCGGGTGAGTGTGAGCCGCCCGTACCCACGAGAGCGTGAATCAGAAGACGGCCACCGTGCCAGATGTAGACATAGCAGATACGTATTCACCCGGCCATAACGTCCAAATACGGTTCTCAGCGCTAAATGCCGCACGTTATTCTGCTCACAGCGGTCATGCGGGGCGATTCATGGTTTTAACAAGGGGGGGGGGGGGCGGGAAGAAAACAGAAACGGCCAGGGGAGGGGGGGGGGGGGGGGGGGGGGGGGGGGGAGACGACAGAGACGGCCAGAGGACGGGCGTCGGCGTGGGGGTGTGGGGAGACGCCTTGATGAGACTGCCGTGGCGTGTCGTTCACCTTGGGATGAACTCTCCTTCAGTCGCTATGTCAAGCCTGAGTCAGGTGACAAGAGGAGAAGCTGCTGCTTCGATAATGTAACAAAGAGATGAAGCGGGACCCCGAGGCTCAGAGAGAAGCACTTACCCACAATACTCATGGGGACTATGCCTTTAACTGACATTTTACAGCAACAGCCAAGGCCTCTTTACAGGCTGGTAAAGGAGATGAGTGATTACCTTGCGTGTTTAATGTGCATCAGAAGTGCGGGACTGCACAGGCAGGGGGTGCTGATGAGAGCCCGGAGGGGTCTATGCTGGATCTGCAGCGCTTAGCAGATTGGCCTTATGGTTGGACGACCACGTGTTTAACTTCACTAAATTAATTAAATTCTAATTTAAATAATTAGCTGAATTAGGCTCTGGATTAAACTGTCAGATAAAGGAAAATAAAAAAGAAGGAATGAATCTAGTGATGGGAAAAGCAGATTCAAAAACAACCAGCGCATAAGCTGTGGGAAACGATTCCACCGAACAAAGCAGGATTCAGCTGCCTGTGATGTTCACATCCAACGAGAAAAGGCCTCCGATCACCGATCAAAAGCCTGGATGTCCAGCTCAACTCTGTCCCAGAATCCAGTGTCACCATCTAAAGATCTGAAACACAGGGTTTCAAACACAGGGAACCTCTCACTGATAAGTCAATCTACCCGCTTTCAGATGCCACACAAAGCACCAGACACAAATGTCCAGCGAATGTTTATGAGACACGCAGCATCCAGTACCCACACCTACCCAAGATCCCCCCACTGCTACGGCCTTAGCGGGCATCAAATGCTTCTGGAAAGCAAGGAGGGGAGGCTGTCGCAATTAGACTGTCACCTTTTTGATGTCACCAGGCCAGTGCCCCCCCAAGGTGAAATCTGAGGAGACATGTCATCTCCACGTCATACCAGCTGATCGAGTCAAGAGCCAATCGGCTTGTCAGTCAGGAGCCACCCGGAGGAGTCAGCCAATCAGACAAGGGTTTCACTGCCAGAATCCTCCCCCCCAAGTTGGTGTAAGTGTCACATTCATCATTAGCCTGGCTGTGGAGCCTTCAGCCCCCCGTCTCTGCTGAAGCCTGTACCCCCCAGAGATGTTCCAAACTGAACAGCTTTCTGCATGGAGCCAACAGCTGGCTGGAACGCGACTGCTACATGAGAGACCAGAAACATGGCCACATAACCTGCCCCCCCAAGTCAGGCTCATGTTAAACTGCAAGGCCAAAAAAACCTGGCTTGCATTTCCAAAAGCGTCATCGTCAACATCAGCTCATCGTAGCGAGCTGCTTCTGGCTAGGGGGGAGAAGAGTGTGCAACTGCCAGACAATCATAACTGGCATCATCCCTCTGAGGGCTCGTGGCAGGGGGGGGGGGGGGGGGGGGTTGCGGTGGTTGTCGAGCAGACGGGGACGGGACAGGCCTGGGGCAAGTTCACCCAACCTTCAGTGTGACTTTAAGCTGGCGAGTCAAACCAAGACCTTTAACTGTTGTTAGAAAACGAGGACAGGTGCCGTTAATAAAATATGCTTTATTTAATTAGCTGTAAAAATTTAACTAAGAAGAGTGAAGAAAGAGTGTTTAAATTTTCCAGTGATTTATAGCCTGCTTAGTTGTTCAGGGGTTAAGAAGTAATGTAGCAGGAGGGATAAATAGCTTTAGTTATAATTTAAAGGTATACTGCAGTTTTACCACACAGTGAATAATTATAGCCCATGAGCACTACTGAATTGGCTAAATTTACACTGTGTGATTAAATGAAGCAAGTGGGTTAATTAAGTCTGAGGTCAGTGTAAGCAAGCAGCAGACTACAAAACATCCAAAGACCTGACAACCCCAAGGCAGAGAGGGGGAGAATGTGCGTGAGGGAGAATGGGAGGACGCGGAAGAGAGATCAGGACCAGTGAGGAGTTGTGCAAGAGAGATCGGGACCAGTGAGGAGGTGGGTGAGAGAGCGGGACAAGCGAAGAGACGCGGAAGAGAGAGCGGGACCAGTGAGGAGGCGGGTGAGAGAGCGGGACCAGTGAGGAGTTGTGCAAGAGAGATCGGGACCAGTGAGGAGGCGGGTGAGAGAGCGGGACCAGTGAGGAGGCGTGTGAAAGTGAGCGGGACCAGTGAGGAGGCATGTGTAAGACAGCGAGACCAGTGAAGAGGCGTGTGAAAGAGAGTGGGACCAGTGTGTATGTGCGTGAGTGAGAGCAGGACCAGTGAGGAGGCGTGTGAAAGTGAGAGGGACCAGTGAGGAGGTTCATAAGTGAGAGCGGGACAAGGGAGGAGGCAGGTGGAGAGAGTGAGACCAAAGAGGAGGTGCTAAAGAGAGTGGCACCAGTGAGTAGGTATGGGGCCAGAGGGATTTGCAGGACCAGTAAGGAGGTGCGTGAGAGAGACTGGGACCAATGAGGAGGCGCATGAGAAGGAGCAGGACCAATGGGGAGGCCAATGGTCAGTGCTCCTTGGTCAGTGCTGCCCACCAGCAGACAGCTGCCACTTAAATGTACATAAATAACCCTCCACCCCCCCAGCATTACACAGATTCAAAAACAGCCCTTTTACATATTTAATACACCCTGCACTATAGCAACGACTGACTCAGCACCAATATGCACTGTTTGCCCATGCTGTGGAAACTTCCAGAATGAATGAAAAGGATCCAGAAGCCCTTTCTCCAGCCTGCTCCTGGTGCCCGCTGTGATTGTTCCACCCTGCTGTGTTTTAAATAAGTCCTGGCCTCCATGGATCTCTCCATCCTGTCTTTCAGTTTTACCCACACCTCTGTTAGCTTAAGTTGTGGTGAGTGTAGCCAGGGAAAGAGCCTGGCAACTGATGCATTTCACACACACACTCACACTCACACACACACACACATACACACACTCACACTCACACACAGGTTCGTAATTATATCTTTGTGGGGACTCTCCATTCATTTCTATGGGGAAAACTCTACCCCCAACTTGATGACCTTGACCGCTACCAAGCTCTAATCTTCACCATAAATAACTAAACAAAACACAAGTCTTTTACCATTTTTAGTTTTTTTAGCAATCATATATAAAAGCTGAGGAAACACCATACTATAGACCCCCAGTTCCCCTCCTCATGCCCCCACATTGCAGTCTGGCCGAGCGACCATCACGCTGAGCCATGGGTCAGACGGGGGGGGGGACGACACTCATCAGCTGCTCTCCTTCTTAGGCCGCCTGATAATGTGCTCAGCAGTGACATCTGGAGGGGACACTTGAGAGCAATCAGACAATCAAATATAATTATCTAAGTGATAATTGGGGTTTCCCACCACCCAGTGCCACGTGGAGTGGGGCTGCCCCCCCCCCCCCCCCCCCCCCCCCCCCCCCCCCCCCCCCCCCCCCCGCCCCCGTCCCTGCACTCACCGCTCTGTCCTGTAGGTGGAGCACCTCTCCAGAGGGATTTTTAGCACTCTGTTGTTCAGGCCTACAAACAATGACCTGTCGCTGTGCAAGATCTGCAGGCTCAGGATGGGCTCCCGCGTGTCGGCAGGCAGGAGCTGCATCTCCTCCAGGTAGCAGCCATGCAGGCTGTGATTGGCTGTGGAGAGGGCCTTCAGGATGGTGCCATACTCTGATTGGGGGAAGGAGCACCTGTCAGACATCCCGGTGAGAAGCCCCGGCCCTTAGCGCCCACCCGCGGCCCCACAGCACCGCACCTGTGCCGATGTACATGACATGGTAGAGGGTGTCTCGGCCCTGCACGATGTCCACCACCAGCTTGGAGAAGCGCATGCTGTCCTGGACCACCAACGGGTCCACGGAGACAGGCTGCACCACGTCGTTCATGAGGAAGAGGCGCTGCGCGTCCTGCAGGCTGCGCTCAGTCAGGTTCTCATTGGGGCCGCTGTCATTGATGGTGCCACACTGTGTGGGTGCAGAAAGATTCAGAGCAGGCGAACCCCTACGGGCACATCAGCGAGGCAGACGAGAGAGGCTGCAGCCCTCCAGGGAATGGTGGGTGGGTGGATGGGTGGATGTATGGGGATGGATAGGTGGATGGATGGATAGACTTGCCTGGAAATTAGGGATGGGGTTGGGCGTGGCCTGCCAGGTGGAGCGTGGGTTCTCCTGGGTGCGGAACGGCCCGTTGAAGGCTTGTGTGATGGCACTCAGGTTGAAGGCACAGACGGCCGAGGCCGCGATGCTGTTCCTGTGGAGGGGAGGGATGGGGGTCCATTATTTACACTCCTGAGGAAAGCAGATGTGATTTGTGTGCGCATTTACTCAGCGAGAGCTCATTTCTGAGGCCAATGCTTCAGCTGCTATTACCCCTACTGACCAAGTATGAACATTTATATTTATTTGGCAGAAGCTTTTGTCCAAAGTGATGTAATATCTACCTCGCTTGTACATCATGAGTGTACAGCTGTCAGGCAGCCAGTAAGGCAGTCAGTGCAGCTAGGGTGAGCTTCCACTGAGGAACCAGTAATATATACAAAATTTTCTATAGAAAAAAACATAGCAAGTATCATACACTGCAGGTGCTATGGGCCACAGCGCCCCCTACTTCAAGTGAGGAGAGAAGCAGCAACATCCCAGTGGTGCCAGAGCATCACGGTTCTGAATCTCTGCCTCCCTTGCTGGGTCTGCAGTCCCCAGCAGCCTAAGCAAACGCAGCTGCGCAGACAAGGGTCGCCCTGCAGCCTGAGCAGATGCGGCTGTGCAGACAAGGGTCGCCCTGCAGCCTGAGCAGATGCGGCTGTGCAGACAAGGGTCGCCCTGCAGCCTGAGCAGATGCGGCTGTGCGGACAAGGGTCGCCCTGCAGCCTTAGCAGACGTGGCTGTGCAGGCAAGGCTCACCCAGCAGCCTGAGCAGACGCGGCTGTGCGGACAAGGGTCGCCCTGCAGCCTTAGCAGACGTGGCTGTGCAGGCAAGGCTCACCCTGCAGCCTGAGCAGACGCGGCTGTGCGGACAAAGGTCGCCCTGCAGCCTTAGCAGACCTGGCTGTGCAGGCAAGGCTCACCCTGCAGCCTGTGCAGACGCGGTTGTGCGGGCAAGGGTCACCCTGCAGCCTGAGCAGACGCGGTTGTGCGGGCAAGGGTCACCCTGCAGCCTGAGCAGACGTGGTTGTGCAGGCAAGGCTCACCCTGCAGCCTGAGCAGATGCGGCTGTGCAGACACAGTTCGCCCCACAGTCGACCGCCCTGGGGGCTCACGATGGTGGTGAATCACACGCAACATTCATCACCGCCACAGTTCCGAAGCACCAGACTCTGTGAGTGCTGCGATAACCTGTCCCGTTCTGGCTTCCTGTCCGGACAGGAAATGGGAAGGACTTCAGACACGCGTCTCGGAGCTGGGCCTCTGTGTGGCCGCCGGGCTCCCCAGATCCAGCTCACTTGCTGCAGCTGGGCCGTGTGCTGCATGTGGAGTTAACTGGGGCTCCGCGGTCCTGGGACTCTGGCCCTGCGCCTATAGCATTAGCGACTCTGCTAATTGGAGCCCAACATAATCAAGGGAGAGGGGGGTGGGGCAGGCCGTACTTGGCCATATGAAAGGGGGGCTCAGCCTTATCCTTCAAAGCCTCTGGGAACATCTGGCCGGCCTGAGTGGATGCAGGAGCCAGAGGACGTACATGGGAGACAGCCTGTGTCCGCAGATGGAGCTCTGGACTGGAAGGTGCCGCTTGGGGGTGAAGCACGGCTGAGCCTCACGGCTGAGCCTCACGGCTGAGTGGGGGGGCTCCTGCATCTCGGGCTGTGTTTGTGAGCGTGAAGATAACCGAGTTTAAAAACGAGAAGCGGAAAACAAAGAGGCCGTGGGAGTCCTGCTGGTTTTATTCTGCATCTGTCCCTGTGTGGGTCTCTTCATGCAGCAACACGAGGTTAAAGCTCGGCTAAAGCACTCCGCTCAAGAAGCCCAGATTCCGCGACACTCTCCTCCGAAGGCCATATTTACTCGGGCCTGGGGGGGCTCTGTTGGAAATGCCTCCCCAGAGCCTGGGATAAAGTGGCTTTTAGGGCCGCCTGCTGTCCGGATCCTGCTTCTGGCACTGGCACGGTGCACGCCTTGCATATCGGCAGCAGAAACTGCTCCAATTGTGCTGTAAGGACAGAAGGGACAGCGGCCCTTGACGGAGCCTGCGGAGTTTGCCCACTAGGGGGTGCTGCGCTGGCCTTTGCCAGGCTTCAAGTACCATCCATGCTTTTGGAAGAATTCACCTGTACCATCAGACATTTAACATCCAGATATGGCTACTGTCCTACTTGCTGCTTATTTTGCGTTCAGGTGGATTGCAAAGTTACAGTTAAGAGAAGTTTGAAATAATTTAGAAATGCTATACAGTAAAATCTCATTATAGTGGACTCGCTTATAACGGAATATCATCTATAATGGACGAGGTTCGCTGCGCCTTTAAGAACATGCAGAAAAGGCATCGGATAGAGCGGACTCGCATTTAACGGAATTTCGCTTATAACGGACAAACAATTTGATCCCAGGGCCGCTTTTAGCTGTAGTTCTGTTCAGCTATAACAGACATGCAGGCTCCGCCTACAAGGCGCGTGACCTGCCGGTGAAATACAGCGCAGATACATAGTCGGGATTATTAATAGTCACGCATCTGCTCAGGTAAAGTTGGATTACTACATGTACAATATAATAATCTGTACCACAAGTGTGTCTGCTGGGGTGGGGCATGAGTAAATGGTGTCCTGTAGTTGTGTTCTGGGCATACAGCAACTCTGGATATAACGGACAGTTTTGCCAGGTCCCTTGAAGTCCGTTATAACTGGATTTTACTGTACTGAAAATATCACAAAAGCAAGATTCTGCTATTTGTATGAGTACAGGCATGTAGGAAATCCCACCTTAGAGGGACAGCAACTCCCACACCATGCCGGCATGCTAGCTGGTGAATGCGCTGTGAATTACCAAGGCTGTGTTCTTCAAAAACAGTTGCAAAAATTCACTGTCACTATTGTCATCGTTCCGTAAGCCTGCCCGAGGCCACCCAGAACGTGAGTGTTGCGTGGGGGTGCGTATGCCTCACCGAGGCGCCCACCCTCGCAGGAAATGCAATGTGCAGGCATTCACGACGCTTTGAGCCATTTCCCGCTGAATGAGATGAAACGGGCCCTGTTAACTGTGGCTTTGGGGGAAGGACTACAGCAAACGCTGCAAGCATTCAGAGCACCCAGGGCGCCACTGTTTACAAGAAAACACTTCTCAGCTGCTCAGAAAAAGAGCACCTTTTCAAGAACCTGCCGGAAGCTTGAGAATGCTTCCAAAGGAAAAGGTCTCCGTGTCTAACAGCTTTGGACTCCAAGTGCTCGGTCCAAACTCTGCTCCAATTCCAACCACTTCAGAACACTCTAAAGTTACAGGTAAGATACTTAAAGTCAAACAGTTCTTTTTAAATGTAGGCTGGACTGCTGCAGTAGGAATCATTACCAATGCGGTTTAATTAAGATAAGATTATCGTACAGGTGCGTATTTTCTCAATATTATCAAGCTCTCCTTTAAGAACTTCATTACAGGACAATCTTCTGTCTCGCTGTCTTGACACTGTGGCAATTTGCTGTGAATTGGCCACTATGGCTTTTATCTGAGCAACACAAACACTGAGTATAAAAGTACAGACGCTCCCTAGGTTAGGATGGTCCGTATTATGGTATTTCGACTTTGCAATGGGTAAATGTTTTTCACTTTCAGCATATTATTCAATACATTACATTGAGATATTCAACACGTTATTATAAAGTAGCCTTTGTGTTAATGGTTTTGCACAACTGTAGGCTAATGTAAGTGTTCAAAGCATGTTTAAGGTAGGCTAGGCTAGGCTATGATGTGTGTTAGCTTAGGTGTACTGTATTAGAATACATTTTCGCCTTATGATATTTTCACCTTATGATAGGTTCACGGGAATGTAACCCCATCGGAACCTGGAGAGAGGCTGTATAATGCTTAAGAATCTGGACTCTTAGAGAAGGATTACTAGGGGCTATTAAGAACATCATTTGAGGATGACAGAGCCAGTAAGCGGAGCTGGGGGCCCCGTGCAGACCGGCAGGGCCGGGAGGCTACTCACACATTTGTGGTGAAGATGCCGAAGATGAGGTCCTGCTCGGGTAGGTAGAAGGTGCTCTGCAGCTCGTGATAGTAGAAGGGAATCTCTCCGGAGCGGGAGCAGTTGAGGCGAGCCTTCATGAAGGTGGTCCAGGTGTCCTCCAGCAGGAAGCGGCCGCCGATGTCGTTCTTGCACACGCGCGCCACTCGTGAGTACACCGTCTTGCCGCAATCGTGCTCCACGGCGTTCTCCCGCAGGAAGAAGTAGGTGAAGAGGCCCACATCGTAGGCCGAGATGAAGTGTGGCTCTGTGTGTCCGGAAGAGAGAGGTGGGGGTGTGGGTTAGCTGCGGGGGGGGGACTCCGCCATATGCCAATTTGTAGGCAGCCTGGACCTTCAGAATGAGCAGAAAGCTTCAGCTGGGAGACCACAGGGCCCCAGGGTCTGGGCCGCTGACAGAGGGCAGGCCTTCCCATTTTTCATACAGCCAGAGTGTTTTACAGCCCGTCCCTAACAGGAGCAAACAGGGAGGTGTTCCTGGCGCTGAGCCTGTGGGAGCTGCGGAGAACCTGAGAGTACATCTTTTGTAATGCGTCTATCTGAGGAGGTCGCAGTCAGGTGATCGAAAGCAGCACTGCAGGAAAACCATTACAACCATTCAGCTGCTGCCTAAAAAGCCAAAGACCCTTAAAGGCGACGAGAAGGAGATCGGGAAGAATATGGCGGCTGGCGTGTTACCGACAGCGATTGTGAGAGTGAGAGAGCCTCTCGCTGCTCTGGGAAAGGAACAGCCATCCCCAGAGATGCCAGAGCCAGCCCCCGCACCTGCCCACCCCTCTCCAGCCAGGTAAATCGGAGGTAGAGTGTCTGACCTTTTCAGCCATCACCGGGCAGCCTCTGCTCATGAGAGACAGACAGACCTGACATCTGAAGGCCTGCAATCTGAACGGAGGGGGTTTTTAATGGCGTAAACGCAGAGTGGTGGAGCCATTTGATCAATGAAAGAAGAAGTGTAGGGCAGACCGGGGAGAGGCTGGATGGGGGGGGGCAGAGCAAGGAGGGGAAAGGAGGGACTGGACAGAGTGGATGGGCCAGAGCAAAGTGGGTGGGGCT